TTATTAAGTCTTTGGTGGGAAAATTTCTTCTTTATTCCCCATTTCTGCAATACAAAGTATCTTCTGTATTTTGGGATATCATCTGCTCATTATCACTCTGTCCTTGCATGCAAGTGTCTTCCACAACAGAACAGGATACAGCTTCTCCCTGGTGTTTGGTCACCATTTATTATCCAACGAATCTGAGACTAAAGCTGGAGAACAGCTCATGGGCCATGACCTAGAGACAGTTCAATTGAGTAGTTAGGGGAATTTCATGTGACATCTGAGATCTGTAGATAATTTTTTGGCATGGAATCAAATATTCTTTTCTCTTCTCGGTCCCTTTCAGAACAGAACCCTGTATCTGCATCAACCCACTTGCCTTGTTTACAAAATGTAAATGCTTATTTCCTTCCCTCTCTTGCTTCTCAACAATGAAACAATATTACATATAAAATAAGCTTTTTCTGTCATGAAACTGCAATCCATTCCATTGTCAATTACACAAGTCTCAAAACTAAAGCTCTCTTAAATCTCTCCAGGTTTGAAACTCAGATCAAGCCAGGAAATACTTTCGTTGCTAATTTAAAATCAATGTTTTGTATTTCATTTCAAGACTTTTAGCTTTATTTTACACTAAACTCTCTCCCATCTCCTACACTGGCACAGACAGGATAAACTGATTGACATATTGAATAGATAACTTAAAAGACAAGCTGTCAACCCTCTCACAGAGCAGCAACAATTTCAACCCTGAAAGAAGCAATGTGGGAGCAGGTTCCCATGCCCTCCCATACCACCTCTGTGCCTGCATCTGCCTGCCAAATTCTATATCTGCATGGAAACCCTCTTGGTGGAAGGGCCTGAAGTTTGCATGCTTCCACCTCTCACACTGGCTTTTTCTTGGATTGTCTTTGAAAGTCTTTCTCTGCCCAGCCATACTTTGAGATGGCTACAAAGGCAAGCGCTGAAGAAAAAAAAAATTCACTGATTTCACCACTGAGTTCTGGGTGACCCACTCTGGCCATCTGTCTCTTCTCACTCTTTTTTTGAAAGCTTGCTATGTACAGTTAGTATGAGAAAAGGGCTGGGTTACTACACACCTGCCAAATGCGGGTCCTGCACTTTCAACTGCCAGCCCTTCATATAAAATGTACTGCACTAAGCTGGGAACAAACAGATTCATTTAACAAACAAGTACAACACAGGGATAAATTTGTCAGCCTTAAATCATTTGCAATCTCTCTCTAACAAGAACATGAGGCCTTAAGACTACGCAGGATAACTTTCTACTCAGCTGGTGCTCTAATGGGCTGTGATCTTGGCTCTCATAGGAGAGAATACCTACAAGGCTGAAAAATGGGTGTGCATGGGATCTAACATAGAGATATCGAAGGTCACTGATACTAGCAAACTTCCATTTTATTTCTTCCATTTATTTTCTTCTGCAAGTTATTTTCCATGCTCCTATTTAATTTCTGACTGGTCTGACTAGGTCAAGTTGAAAAAGGTTCTATTAATCCCTGAGATGGAAGGATTTATTTTCAGAGGAAACAAAATCAGAAGCAAATGATTTCTTCACTAAGGAGTGTAAACACACTTAACTGTCATTGTCCTTCTCTGCCTGGGCTCAATTCCACAGGTCACATATCTACTGCATTCAGTACCAGCAAGATGGGTCCTGTGAAAAGGAAGGCTTTAATACTCTTTTCCTCCACAGTCTTCTACATTTGGTGCTACTCTGCCAGCATCCCCTTTCATGCATGCCTGAATTAGTACTGACCACAGCCTCCTAACACGTTTTGAAATGCTATCAAAACAGCACTGGAGGTGTTAAAGGTGCCTATTGCACCACAAAACTCAACTATAATGCTTCTCTTTCACTGACTGCTTGCTGATTTTTTACAGAATGCCCTGCATTTTTCACTTCCAAAGGATCCATCATCTTTCCTTAAAAAGGCCTGAAGAGCAATCTATTTTGTGATTTTTCAGCCAGCAGATTCATCTCAGTACTTGTTCAATTCTGACAGTTCTCCATATGAGTTTGAAGCTGCATATCATATCTTGTTTGTTCAGCACCCCTTTGAAATGATGTTAATTTCTACAGCTGCACTTTGTCCAAATTGGAGATGGTAACAGCACAAACCTGTTGTGGTTTACACTGAGAGAATAAACACCTCATTTATACTTCAGATTTGTGTCCAAATATACCAAGATTAATACGAAATAAAGATCATCATGTAGTCAAGCCAGCATAGGCTTAACCATCATTCTCACTTAGTTCATACCGTAGCTTTCTTTCAGCTTCTAACAAAAGCATTGCTGATAGTTTTGACTATTTGGTTTCTTTCCACTTCTCTTCTGAGTTTCCCAGGTTGGCCTGTTCTCAGTCTATTCTCATGCAAGAGAAGCTAAGCATTTCAGAAAGCAGGCATTCTAGCTGCTGTGATCATTCTTTCTTAACTATATTAATGCAAGCTATTGATCATTATAATACCCTCATAAACTCTAAGATAGAATGTTGTTTTAAAAAAGATACCCGCCATGAAAGTATTGCAATAGCTAGTAACATGGTAGGTTTTCATGACACTTTTCTAGATATTCCTAGCCACTACATTATACATTTAGTTAAATTTAATATAGAGAGGACACATGTTCAAATATACCCAGATGAAGAAATTTTCTGGGACTTAAATAGCAGTGCAATTACAAAACCTTCTCTGTTTACTCTAGAAAGTATGTTTAGTGCAGCTGCTCACTAGTTTTGAACTTAACTCCAGAACAGACTCTTCAGACTGCATTTTTTTTTCAACAGCCTACTTTTTAAGAACTATTTCTGTTGCCAATTTCTCAGCTTCTATGGTGTAGTTAGTAAGTAGTTGCTTAAAGTGAGCCTAAAAACACTTTTCTAGTATTTACACAGAGAAGAGCACAAAATCATGAAAATCATCATATCTTAGGGCATATACCTCTGCAATGCTTTTTATCTTCCCCCCCATGGTGGACAGTTACTCTTCTCTGTACTCTTAAAGCTGCTATTTTTAGGACTTTAATTAAAAGAGTCCATGCCAACTATATCATAGATATGTTCTCGAACATCATACAAACACAAACCATGGATAGCACAAAATTAAGAAAACATTAAGTGCCTAATGTATTTGGTACCATCTGTCCTGATCAAACCTGTTACAAGAGTCATTAGTTAGCTCATTGGTGAAAATACAGATGTAGCTACAGGTGTTCACGCAGTTCTCAAGGAAAGAATTAAAAGAAAAACTAAACCACACAAGGACTAAAGGAGAGAGCAAAAATATATTCCCTATGGCAATGTAGCAATCAAGGATTTGTGCAGAGATTTAATTGATTTTGAAAAGCAGGCAGTCAGACATCAATTCAAAGTAGGCATATTTGACAGCTAAGTAGTGAACTAGTCACCTAACATTCTACTTGTTAAATAGGATAACCAAAAGATCTAGAAGGGCTTTCTGTGTATATGAAGGCACCCACAGAGATACATTACAAGGAATCAGCAAACTAAACTCACCCGTTAAATGTAATATTTATGAAATAATAATAATTGGCTCAAGCTTTACAAATGTTTATGCCAAAACACCCCATAGAACTGAAAGTATTTGCTATACCAAGGCAACCCACTAGAGGTCAAGTTATATCTAGCAGTTTAAAATATATTGAATAATAAAGGACAGGGTTTAGGCCACCATCCTCTTATATATTACTAGAATCATCTGGGTTGCCACGTGTATCAAAGTGACAAGTCCTTTAGAACTTTTGGTTAGAACAAAAAAAGCTCATAATATGATGGCTGGTTTACAAGGATACGAAACAGGTTAAGTAATTGTTTCCATAATCCATTGATTAGATGGATTGGATTATTAGATCGGGGAAGTTTTCCTTAAAAGAATACCATGGTATAAAGATTGTTATCTCGGTTATAGATCATATGCTATGATGCTTGGAAATAGTAAAAATGTCAAGCTGAACTAGAAACAAAACCTCAAGACTTTATACCAGTCTTCTATACTGATGACAGAAGAACCGTAATGCAAAGAGATACATACTTTTGCAGGACTACATCAGAATCTTATAAAAAACCCCATATATAGGTAAATATATATATAAATATATAAAAACTATCTTGACAAAAATGGAAAAACTCCATGTCTAATCAGGAATCTTATACTAGCACATCATGAGTGCAGAAAGAACATTTTGTGTTAGAATGGTTTCCAAACACTTGAATTTGTGAATGTGTGGTGTCCAAAAACAAATAAAGGATATTTCATTAATGCCTACCCTCACTGCAATAGCATGGCTCAGTGTAATAGTGCTGTCAGTCTGCTTTGTAAAGCCCCAATTTAAACTTAATTTACCTATTTCCCATTTCATTCTCCCATCCACTTGGAGAAACAGAAATGTTTGCAATCACAGCCTTTTGACTGCTAAACAGTTTATTGGCACACAGGTAGGCTGTGACTTAAAGCAGCTTTCCAGCAGAAAGCCGCTTAAAATTTAACAAGAAATTGTATCAGCTATGATGATGTCCCAAGACAAGGGTAAAAATGAGTGGTGAAAAACTCCATTTGCTCACCTATTTCTGTGAGGAACCACATTTTTTTTTTAAAAAAAAAGGCAGTTTTTGCCTTCTTCCTGTACAGAAGTGGAAGACTCTTAATGACTAGTCTTCATTGTTTCTGCAGTTACCTTCTGAATTCTTCAAATCAAGTTGCAAGTTGTATGTTGTAATTCCTGGACTACCATGAAGAGTTCCAGAATTAGTGTCAGCCTAAAGATCACAGTATATAACCCACAGCCCCTGGATTAAACTGTTTTCACCTAGTCTTTCTGGTTCACTAGCTCCACATGCCTAACTCATCTTCCATTGTGTTTATAACTAAGGTGGCATAAGGAAATTGCACACAAAACAGAGCTCTTTTTGGATTATTTACTAAAAGAATCAGTGTCCCCCAAAGACTCAGTATTGTTTTACTAGATCTCACCTCCTCAACCATGTGCTTGACTTTCTTCTGTTGGCAGTGAACCATATCATCCAGATGTTTGATTCGCTCTCTTAGGCTAGCTGCTACCTCCTCCAAATGCTGTGACCTAGCAAAACATGCAAGAATTAAGCATGTAAGTGGGGAGCTATGCAGTATAAGCAAAACAAGAACCCCCACAATCCCACCATGTATCAGGAAGATTAGGACAAGAGGTAGGCAAGTCAAATTCCACTGACAGATGTCAACTTGTCCAAAGTACATTATAATGGGAGTCTGTTAGTCAAAGTGGCTGTCTCTGCCCAAGTTAACTCACCTTTGTCTTGCATACTGGTGTGCTTACTCAGAGCCTGAAATGCTGGCAATTAAAGAATGTAACAAAGCTCATCTCCTTAAGATGTCTATTTTTCCTTGAAGTGAAAAGCATTTAGACAACTAGATCTTAATCATCAGAAAGATACATTTATCCTGTCTTACTATCACTTGCAAACTTTTTGGATATACATATTAAATAAAAGCCAGGAAGCGCATTTCCTGACATCCTTTTAAAAGCTCTTGGCATAGTTGCCAATGGTAGCAGAATGCTAACTGGAGTAGTATTAACTCATCAACAGTCAGCAGGAACTATGGATGTTTTAAGTTTGTATGTATGATTCTTTAGATAGTTCCTATATTTCTTCAAATCTGCTTAACACAGAAATTGAACACCCACAATAACTCCTTCCACATGTTGGACAGCTTACCAGAAAAGTAGTTTTAGAATATGCAAAGAAACAGGAGGGAAGCTTTTTAATAAGGTTTTGGCATGTTGGCCATGGAAGCCTCCATTTTTATTGGAATGTACAATTCTTGAAAGCAAGCAATTGCTTGCTTACAAAATAAACTTCTGTCTGCCTATGTTTAGGACCGGACAGAATTTGAGAAGTGGAGGAGGGGGAATCAAAAACAAAAAGGCTTTTTTTCATCTTGGTCTGTGAACAGCAGAAGAAACTGTTGAAGCTGCAAATAGAACCACCATTTTAAGGCAAAGCAGCAGATGGCAAACTGTATGACATGATTCCAATGAATGACTGAATTGTATGCTGTTACACACAGAAGGAGTCTCTATTAACAGTGAAGTACTCTACAGAACTGTAACTGCAGCAGTTTGACAAGGACTCAAAAAAATCAAGGCACTGCTGCAGGTTTTTCAATCCCGAGTATTAAGGTCTCACAAAACCACAATTTACATTTTGATTGCAATTGTGACACATATTTGGTCTCTCCTTGAAAGATTTAGGATTTTAAGCACTGATAGCAATGGAGCAATGGAATATACTCCTCAGGTGAAGCTGAAGTGTCTGGTTGGGTACAGACAGGTAAAGAGAACTTAAGAACAAACTTCAGTATGTGAACACAGATTCATTGCTTGCATAGACTGCAACTGTGTGCTTGCTTGCACTGCAGAAATTTCTGTCTGAACACTGCCTTTACCCTTTTTACTGCAGCATAACTTCTCATGCTGAGTGGAAAGGGCAGGATTCACTGAAGCAAGAAGAGTCTCTGTTATCCAGAGGTAAAGAAAGAAAGCGATTATCTTTCATCTCCATATTCTATGTTGTATGCGACATCTGTTCACTTTATTATTTTAACAGGCTGCTGTGAAAAGCCTGAAACTGGATAAGCTGGTCACAGATCAATACAACAAAGACAGTGAGATGCTCTTGGCAGGGGACTCCTTTCATGTTTATGCTTCTACAGAACAGCGGGATGCCAAAACCTGAGAACTGAATTTCTGGGTGCCACAGAAATATAAGTAGTAATCAAGTACAGTTACTCAGTCTCTGCTCTTAATTCATCTTTAGCTGCTCAAGTAGTGTCATATAAACCTTTGAGTGGCAGATGCATTTTTCACTCCAATGAAAGTCACGGTATTTCAGTGCTGGATAGATTTCTCTTGAAACTTTGCCTCTGACTTCGCTTGAAGATTTCTTTTGCGTGGTCATGGTGCTCTGCCAGTCCCAAAGAAGTACTGATGGATGCACATGCCACCTATGTGCAGAAACACGTCTTCCAGGTGCCACTGCACCACTAGATCTAAGCCTCAGTGCTTTTGAGAACAACCATTCCCAGAGGTCTCACTGCCAAGATCACCCTGACTTTCCCCAGATAACTTCATAGCTTCTGCACTTGTGATGCTACATGGCAGATTTCTTCCACAGCTTCATTTTGTTCATGTGTATATGTTAATGTGCACCGCATGTGTAGACCTGCCCCTCCAAGCCTCAAACATATTACCCGCTTTCTCCCTTTCATACAAAAAATACACTTCTGGCAGTTATGTATGAATTCCTGCTCTCTTCAAGAGTTCATCTTTTAAAACAGGATACAGAATGTCTTTTCTTTTGAAACTGTGTTGAGCCATCTAGGAGATAATGAAACACTTCAGTCAAGATCATACTGTGCTGAATTTGGGAAAGCAGATTTAAGAAAAATGCAATCCACAAATACATCACAACTTGTTCCATCTAAAATGTGCTCTGCTTGTTTGTAAACAACTTTTCAATGAAATATGCATTAAAGTGTTTTTTGTTGCAAAAATTAATTCTCTCAATATTTTATATTGTAAATAAACATACATTCAGGTGGACAATCCCTACTAGACTGCTGTTTTAAAGTTAGAAAAAGTAAAATTCAGGTGTCTTCAAAAACAAACAAGCCCCTGAAGTTTCCTAGCAATACTAGAAATTCCACAGAAAAGACATCTCACCTTTCACTGTCAGACTTGTTTTCAGATTTTCCTCCAGATATTTGTAGTTCATTTAGTTCAAGTTGTTTTTGTAGCTGGTGACGTTCCTAAACAAGAAATGTTGCCTTTCAGTTTTCCATGTGTCAAAATGTAAAGGCTTCACAAAGCATATTTAATTGCAATTCAAAAGATTATTTGTGAAATTAAAATAGAAACTGATTAAACAAAATTCATGCATTTCCTATAGCCAAGGAGCACAGAATGCATAATAAAATCAAATTCCCAACTATGCATGGAAATAAGATCAATTTCCTATTCAAAGATGTATAGTTGTACTTGAAACTGTATTTTTTGAAACTTTATTTTTTGAATAAAAAGATGAATCATCACAACCTTTAAGTACATAAATGTATAATTTTCCATGTTATCCCTCCAAAAAGATCTCTCAATCCAAGGCTGAGATAAAAGGTATTGCTCTATTTTCTTCTCCAAAATACTCCTGTTTATTTTCAGGTGTCCACCAGCACAGTGCTCATGAAGATCTATGAGGACTTGGGGACTGAGTCAACACAAATTAACAGGAGTCTGCTATCTACTTTAATGGGAATTTAAGAGGCATTCAGTTTTACTCTGCAAGTATCAGCCAGATAAAAGCAAATTAAATAACCAACATGAAGAAACTCATCTGTACTTAAGAACTATATTGTCATCCTTTATTCACTGTGTAAAATACTTACAAGTTGTAGGCTGAAGCCCAGATGAAGTTTATGGAGCTACTAAAGGGGCATATTAAGCTGAATGATTTCTCAGTGAAATCTCTAATTCTACTAATAGATTTGCAAACATCAGAAAAAGGGGCTCAGTACAAATGCACATTAGACTAACCAGTCAAGCCAACACGACTGGCATATAAAAATCTATTTCTCAGTAGCAGATATTTACTATATTGACTAAAGCTGCTGAAAATACAATTCACATGTAAGAACAAGATCGTATTCCCTCCACTTACTAGAATACTCCCTACTTCTGTATTTTAGATAACAAGGCACAGATATTTAAAGACAATGAGATGCCTGCTATTGAATGAAATGAGAAATGCAAAAGTACATCTAAGGGCATTGTAATCGTTTGTAAGGGCTGCTCTTACACTGTTTAGGGTAACATTATTCAGTGTAAGGACAAAACAGTAACATTCATTCTCAGTTAGGTGAATGATACCAGAAAATGATGAGGAAATTTCACCCTAACTATTTGACACAGAAGATATAGAGCTTTTTCAGCTATCTGAAAAGGTTGAACAATACAGTTCGGACGTAGTGTACTATGCAAGGAGAGGTGCTGTGGTATTCTTAGGTTTAACAATATATTAAAATAATAATCATCTGACTACTAGTCTGAGTTTTGCTCTGTAGTGAAGTTCATAAAAGAGAAGAAAAAGCAGGAAATAAAAAGAAGCAATGCAAAAACTGATACAACTAGCTTTACAGTAATGTTGCCAGTGTCGTAAGTAAATGCCTCAAAGCATTTCTGCTTTCAGAGCTTTAAAAATGAACTGTCAAAAATCTGCTCTCAATTACAGTTTGGTAAGGAATATTTAGCCAGGGAGAGGAATGGAATAATTAGAAGTTTTTTAATGCTAGCAGGAAAGGAAGAACATAAATTTTGGAATAAAAGGCAGTAAAAATGATTTTTTCTTATCTCCTCAAAATATTCTGAGCCATAATCTAAATAAGATAGACATCTGCATGGAAGATTAAGTGGCTGCTACATACCCACAAAAAACCCTCAAAAACATTTTAGTCCAAAGCTTTCAGTTTAGCCTTTCATCCACATGAGGAGAAATTTGGAGATACAATTCCAATCAGAAATATAAATAGCTAAATAGTAAGGCCTATTCCTTACTAAAACACATTTTAATGAACCTACCAGCAGCATTTCTGAGAGACTTTGGATCAATTATGATTATTACTTCATTAGGCTTAGGAGACCTTGCACACCAAAGGAAGACTGAATGGTATTTTTAAACTCTTTCTTTAAAATAATGGGTTAATTTGCTAAATAAATTTTGACACCTTAAGCATTCCTGACTGTAAAGGCCACTAGAAAGATAGAAGAACCACTTAATTGCAGTGTCTCTATGGTAGTCCAGGTCCATTTACTTATATGGATACAATAACTAAGTAAGATGCAAACAGCAATGGTATGTCACTGAGCAGGGTACTGAGCAGCAGGCAAAAAAAAAAAAAAATATTTCCTCCATCCACTTCTGCACTTCCTTTAAAGGCAGCAAGCAACTAACTCTCATACCTCTTCCATACGTTCAATCAGCCGGTCTAGCTCACCAATTCGCTGGTCTTTTTCCTGTATGCTTGTTTCTGTAATTTGCATCTTCTTATTTGCCTCTTCAATAGCCTTCAGAAGCCGATTAGTTTCCTCCTTCAAATAAGAACATTTACAGTCACATTAACATCCAATGTATTAATGAGGAATTTAAAAAAAATTTTTTTAGACCACAGAGCCAGGCTAACAATGTTTAATCAGAGCTCAAAGCTTTTTACTACACCTACCCAGAAGTCTGGAAGAGTTGTGACCCTAAACGTGAACTGTACAACAAAAGATTTAGGGCACTTTGAAGCTCATAGGTATTTGTAAAGCATCAGTATGAATATATGAGAAAAACTTATACCCATTTCTTAGATGTTTGTTTTCCTTTCTGAGGATGCCATGAAGTAACAGTGTAAGAAAAATACACTGTTGCAGAAGATAGCATTTTAAACAGGGAAGTTTGCCACACTGAGCTTTGTACCTTCCTCACATATAAAACAATATGAACAGAAAGAGACTGGGTAATCTACCTTGAATCTCAGCCATTATCTCTGCCTTTATCAATTAGAAAAATTCAGTAACTAAGTGCTCATAGAAAGATTTTACTTGGGGGTGGAGGAAAACCAGGGGAAAGGAAGAGTTCTTGCTCCAGCAGCATGCAGTGAACTTGTTCTTAAACTATCACTAAAACTGGACATTATATTTTCCTTTTTGTAGAGAATGAGAAGTTAAAAAACACAACTTCATTTCAAATTTTGAAATCTACACTATCATTTCTGTTATTGTGTTTGAACACATTCTTTTCTTAGCCCTACAACCACAAGAGTTTGGAAAGCTTAGTTAACCGTGGCATGACTAGTCACAGAGACAGGAGTGAAGAACACGTCAACTCTGAAGTAGTAAGTGATTGAGAAATGACACCCAAGGTAAGCACCACTCTTATAGACTAACTATACATACGAGAAGGATTTCTTTTTCGGCTTTATGTTTCTGCTCCTCTTCTCGCATTTTTTCCTCATACTGACTATACAGTTTCCTTGTCATCTCTCTCATGACTTCAGCATTGGCTTCCTGCGACGATTCCACCTATGAGAGAGGAAATTTGACCCATCAGTCACCATGCAGCACTACTGGCAGTAGGAAAAGAGTTCACAGGATGTTAGAATAACACTTTGAACTTCCACTCCCTCTCCACTTTGTTATAAATTTGACATTGCTGAAGCAGATTTTCATTAGCAACAAGACCATTTACAATACTCTGCCATTATATAAGTAATTTGAATCTGTAGAAGTTACCACTTCATGAGGTTTCATGTTGTCTGAATTTACTCATTGCTTATCCAAGCCCAGGATATGCCTCTTTGCTGACCCCTTCCATAACAGCCTCCAATCACTTGGTTTGTTTCCCCATTGATAGTCTCTCCCTGTTTTACAGAAGCATAGATTAGACAAGATCTAGACTCAACTCCTGTTTCTAAATGACCATGAACACACAAAGCAAGAATTACTTTAAACTGGACCTAAGCATGTGTTGTTAACTAGAAGACACAGCTATACCCTCCCTCCTTTCTCTTGCTTTTTCACATACCACTCTTTGTGTAGGCACAAGAACTGGGGTGACCATGGAGCAAAACAGATCAGGGAACAACTAGACTTAATATACTCAGGGGTGTGGAAGAGTTAATTTTTAACCACGGAACCAGAAACTTTACTACTGCTACAGAGAAGAGGGTAAGAATGGTAATTCAGAGGCAGGATTTCCCCCTTGTGTTGGCTCAAAACACTGACTGAACCACACCCTCAAGTAATTAAACACCAGATAGGATATTCACAGCTTAAACCCATCTACTGTGTAAAGCGCAATAAAAGCAAACTAAAATAGCTAGTCCAGGACTTAGTTCTCTTACTAGAGATGCTATAAATCAGACATGGTTACAGTGAAATGTTGTGGGTGCTACAAAAATGTCAGGAAGATGAGGAATATACTGTCATCTAGGAGAATAATAAACTGTTCCCTGCTGATCAGTACACAGATACAAAATACCTGGTTCTGATGATTAAGGTTTTGAGGTTTGGGGTTTTCTTTTCATTTCAAGGACTGAAAGATTTATTAAAGCCTTGTGTTTATCTTGCATGGTGGGAACAAGCTATTTTACTACCCTTTAGGATAACAAGTGTATTTCATCCTTTGAAAAGGGACTGAGCTCTGAAGGACTCCACTTGTACTGCAGTTGTCCCCTTTGGCATCTCATCTAGACCTGGGCAGGGGTAGTAATCTACACTTTGTGAGAGTGAGTGAAGTTAAATTTAGTTTCAGTACAACACGAAACCTTCCACCTTTCAGGAAGGTTGAAAGAAACATATAATTCAGAAAAAGCCAACAATCAAACCCCAGAGTCCTTAACTGAACTGGAATATGGTCTCTGGCACCATCTCACCATCATTCCTTTGCTTATAGCTTGAGCAATGAGAGGAGTAAAAACAAGCATAAAAAGGTAGACACATCAGGGCATCCTGCTGTACTACTCTTGAACTGAGGCTGAAGACATTGCTTTTGTCATGACTGGATGAATAAACTGAACCTACGTAATAAGATACATGGGTGTGTTCTCCTACCGAGAAAGTAATCACAGCATACAGTTGTTACTGCTTTTCAGCTGCTAGCTTCCCAGATTCCACACCACCCTCTTACATTCACCCCTGGAATGAAATCCCAGATGTTTTGCATCTTTGATACACAATTTTACATTTAACTTTCAAAGACAGCAATGACGTATTTCATCCACTAACACTGTAATGAAACTGTAATTTGGAGGGCAAAATTTAAACTTTTTCCTCATTAAGGCAGGGCATATATTCTGCAGACCTTGACATGCTTGAAGATAAACAAATCCCTAAGCACTCAGTTGAACTGGGGCTTAACCTGCGCTTCTCTGACCTAAGAAGCAGACATACCTTCCCCTGACTTGTTGGTGCATGTCCTTAAGATTGTAGTAAAGTCCAAATTTGTTTTGAAATCTTAATTGCATCAGCTTTGCTTTCTTCTGTTAATTGTTTTTTTCTTCTTTTTATTTCCTGCTGACACTAGCAGGTACAAAATACAGGTACTTTTATAGCCTGCAAAACCTCACTATGAGAGGAAACTAGAATATGAATTTTAAGTTGAAATATGCTCATGTTAGCATTTTCTCTTTTAATCATTCACCATTTAGCATGAATTCAAGTCACTAGAGCACCAAAAAAGAAACATCTTTGACAAAATTAAACACGAATAAACCAGCAGTCACCTTAATTTTACAGTGACAAATTCTGATACAATACTATACCAAAAATATTCTCTTTTGAGCAATTTTAAGAGAGACAAAAGTTTTCAGGAGAGTTTTTTGATTATTTGTTTTGTTATGGTTTTTGTTTGTTTGTTTTTTAATGAGATTAAAAGGAATACATTTGGCAGATGAGGGGAGAAAACAGTCAAGCCTTCTAGCATATAAAACCTTCCAGTTTGCGTTTTAGTCCCTTGCATTTCTCTGAAAGGAATACCTTAATTCTCTTTCCAAGACACTTACTGTTACAGCATGTATCTGCTGACCATATGATCATAAGACTTAAGAGATTACCTGTTAAAAACTGTGCATACCAAATAAACAAACATCAAGACATTCTTATAGCGCTGCTTAGAGTTATGATATTCCTTTACGTACAGCAATGGATGCTAATAACCATTCAATGGTTTGAATTTTTACCAGAGTAATGGTTTGAATATTCATCCCTGAATAGTGACAGAACGTGACAGAAAGACTGAGTGCTGCCAGCTGAGATTTTTGTTATTAGAACAGTATTGATTCACAAGAGTATGTCAGTTCTAGGGAATGATGAAGGCATAAAAACCCCTTTGCAAACAAGGCCAAGGAATTAATTTAACATGCTCCTAATGCCCTTATTATGAAATATTTTTAGGGGAGTTTATATACCACACCTTTAATTTCAGTAGCTGATTTTCAATTTGTGCTGTTTCCAGTTGCTTTTGCTTCTCTCTCAGCTTTTCCATAGATTGCTCATGTGTATGTTTTAAATTCCTTATTTGTTCCCTTATATCAGTGTTCTCCAGTGTAACATCCACTAGAGTTTTCTAGAGCAAAGAGGCAAACCACATATTAAAAATCACAAATAATTTGGTGAATTAATATAGTCACAAGATTATGGGACAGACAGAACATTCAAGAGTTTCCTGATGTATCAATGAAGCATGAACAGTTTTGCAAGTTCTAACATTTAAAATTATGGCTTTTGTTGTATTTAGTTTACTAGAAGGTATTTCCATGAGAGTCATGCTCAGTGAAATCAAGTCCTGGAACACTATAAAAAAAAGGAACATGGACGCATTTCAGTATGAATGCTACTCCCAATAATCTTCCTTTCTTCTCTCCAAGGCCCGTGCTACACATATTAAATGCACTAGACTGAAAAAAAAACCTGTGACATACAAGAAAGCAGGAACATTAAGTTATTCAGCTCAAATACGTGGGCATTTGGAATTATTTAAAACAGAAAATTCATTCCCACCTTCTCCCTCCCCCTGCATTTCACAGGTATGTAAAATCTCACAAGTGTTTATCATCCAAACACGCCAATTGCATTTCTGTTAACCAGTGCAGGTAGGAATAAGTCAGGAGATGTACTGTTTTGCACAATACAGAACAAATCACATTTTTACCTTAGATATTTCATAGAGACATGACTCGTGGCATTAGTCTGCTGTAGATCAGTATCTCTTTATTGTACTCTATTTGTAAGAGGTTTTAAAAACCACAAGTGTTGGAATTATTTGTTTCTTAGTTTCCTAAATTAGCTGCCTTAGATATCCAAGACAGTACTTCATGGGCTTGTATAGTGTTACAATCTGTATTTGTCATCCATGTTTTACATATGCTTTCAAATCCATGTCAGAAAAGGCAGTTGTCAGCTGTGAAACAGCTATTAAAATGTACCTGCAAGTCTATTGATGCTGATGTCAAGGAGCTGTTCATTTCACTAAAGCTATCTAAGGCTGCAGCCTGTACTCGCACATGATTCTCTAAGGATTCCTGATGAGCATTTGTCACCTGAGCAGAAGAAAAAAAAAGTTTTATATAGAATTATGATAAAGTTTACCTATTCTTTCAAAGGGACCCACTGAAGAGAAAGACCCCATGGTTAATTTTCACAGTACTTGGATGCTTAAAATATACAGGCCTCAAACCATGTTCTTGCACCTCAGAAAGAAACAAACAAAACTTAGAATCCAAATATGCTAACAGAAATAAAGCACAAGTATCTATGTTCATTGCTAGTCTGTTATCACTGTAAAAGCTGTTCTTTTTGAAAGGACAAGAGGACACTTGGCAGATACCTATTCAGAAAGTTTATATACACAGAGTGGGCAGACTGTAAAAAGTCACAGACTGAAAAGCAGAAGAATGCAAGAGATGAGGAAATCTAGAAAGGCTTGGGTGAATTGTAGAATAGCCTTAATTAAGAATGAACTGACTAATCAGGTATGTAAAGAAGCAACATCAAGAAGACTTAAGGAGTTGTGCCAGGGAAGGTTTAGATTGGATATTAGGGAAAATTTCTTCATCGATGGGGCTGTCAAGCATTGGAACAGGCTGCCCAGGGAAGCGGCTGAGTCTCTGTCCCTGGAGGTATTTAAAAGACGTATAGATGTGGCACTTAGGGACACAGTTTAGTGATGGGCTTGGCAGTGCTAGGTTAACGGTTGGACTCAATGATCTTAAAGGTTTTTTCCAACCTAAATGATTCTGTGATTCTATGAAACAATACAAAGCAGGTAGATGTCAACAGAGAGCTTTGTTGTGTGAAAATGTCTGGTCTTCGGTTATGTATACACACATGCTTGAAAATTGGAGGGAAAAAAAAAAGGCACAAAATGATGTAGTTTAAGAAGAGAGCAAAACCCAAACAATGTAAGTAATTGTGAACCATCCAATAATAAAGATTAAAAAAAATGCTACAAATGGAGTCCAGTCCAACTCATATTCTTAGATGGCCCAGATCTGTTTCTTGGTAAAAACATAACACTAGGGACTGATATGGAGAACAATGAGTGTTTAGCAACCAAGTCATACACAGATTAGGTCAGCATAGGAAGCAAAAGCCAAGTAGTTACTGTTAACCCTATATAAACATGTGCTCATGTAAAAACAAAGAAAAGCAGAAATGCTTTGGATGGATTAAGAAAGTTACAAGCTAAGAACCTGGGTGAAGCAGCATACTGCTCAGGGCAGAATACTGGAAGTACAAATTTCAAACAAACTTTATGAACAAACAGTAGTCCTGGAAATTGATGGGGAAAAAGCAGAGTGATTCAAAGCTGAAGCAAAGAATATATAAAGGATTTTAAACAGGATCCCCAAATACCATGAAAGATGGCAGTCATGTAAAACCAAAACCCAACCAACCAAAAAAAAAAAGCATATATTATTAGGTAGAACAACACTTGTGCTTTCTTTCAGCCAGTCTAAAGTATTAAAGAAGCAGGGAGGGTGTCTCATAATGTGTCATTTATGTCAGAAGCAATGCTTCAAAAACTGCTAATGTGCTGCAGGACTAGAGATTCTGTCAGAGCTAGTCAGAAACCCTTAATTAAGAGAGATGTTCAGACTCATGCAGGATTTCTACCGGTCTGACAGAACATCTGGAAGTCTAGGATATGACCACTGCTGTTCAGTAAGGATCAGTAGCAAAGATGACAAAACTGCATCTAAATCAGCATTTGCCTCCATGCATAGTGGGTGAGAGACACACCTTATTGGCATCATTAAGACTGTTTAACACGGTTTAGAGAAATTCAGTTTTCTCTCCCTCCTGCTCTCAAGTCAGGGTGACTTTTTTTGTTGTTTTTTTGAAACTAGTTGCCACAGAATAAAAGTACCAGTTTAACTGCAAGTTCTGATCTTTATATACAGCATGATCTTTATAATACAGCATGCAGGGAACTGACAGTCTCCAAATGAGGATGGCAGAAGGGCACAAGTCAGGGTCCCAGTCACATGAAACCAGAATATGTTTAATTGCCAAAGCTTCATCTGAACCAGGACTGTGAAAATTGATGTTGAATATAAAATCCATAGCAAATTTTCAGGAAGATTTTTTGGACCAAATAAATCATAAGTTTAATATGAAGGATACTTCTATAAGACCACAGCAGTTTTTATTGCTAAAACAGCATGTCAGAAAAAAGAGAGGACATTGAATTACCATTGAAAGGTTCAATTAAGAACCAAAAGGTAAGTAATTTTTAGAACTGTCAAGCACTTTAATACTAAAGAATATTGTTACTTCTTTTACTATAGTGTTTAAACAATAAAGTCAGTAAAACAGAGCAAAGTCTGTTGAAATTACACCAAGTTAATTCTAATTATGTAAGTAATTTATTCAACTGACCTGGCAGCTTACTGATACAAACATCTCCACTAATTACAAATACACACAGACAATGCTATCAAGATCATTCTTTTATTACCAAGAAGCAGGCAATTAGTAATTCCATATGCAAAAGCATCCCTGTCCTATTTTACCTTCCTGGAGGGAAAAATAAATAAATTTTAAAAAGTATAGATATTACATAAAACAATGAACTGGAGTAGTTTGAGAAATAATTTCTGTTCTGATGAAGTAAAAAAAATTTAAAAAGTTTCTAGATAACACTGGGACAGTTATTCTCATATGCTTTCCCTACAAATGAATGTATACTTACTTTCAGTTCATTTGTAAGCTGCTGTATTTTTCGTTTCATTTCATCATATTCACCATACATTTTCTTTCTTACTTTTTCCAGAGTTGCTCTCACCTGGTGTCAGAAAAAAAATCAAATGCCTTTATCAAACTTATTGATAATACCATTTATACTAGGAGATGATTGTTTTTTCTATGTTCTTTATTGTTACTCTCGACAGTTTCCACTATTAATCTAACTTTAGCATCAACAATTTACTCTTAAGAACAAGACAAAAATCTAAGTCTCAAGACTTGTCTACGTAGGGATGATATGAATAAACATCTCTGAGTAATTCTAAACTTCACTGTACACTCTTAAACACTTGTAAATTAATAGTTTAAATAAAGAAATCAATTACATTATGCATAATTCACTCTAACCTGATTACTAAAGGAATTAGAATTCATTTGAGCATATAATGTTTTCTTTCTGAAAAAAAGCACCCATAGATGGGTTTAATACACCTTAATACTGTTTAAAGTGGTAATTAGTTTTTCCTGAGTATCCTTTGAAGATAAACTCTTCGATTTCAGACTTTTAGGCTGGTATCTACCTAAACAAGATATCAGCATAAATTTACCAATGCAAATTCAAATCTTAAAAACAGAGTACTTAATTTGATTTTATTTAAGAATTGTGGTTGTAACTGATACCTTGTCTTTCAAAAAAAAAAGAAAAAAGGAAAAAAAAAAAAAAAAAAAAAGAAAAGCAAAGCACACTTGAAGCCAGCTTGGGTTTACATGCCATTGCAGTCATGAACTTCTAGAACCAGTCTTCTCAAGAGCACACATTGTAAACACTAGTTAAATGTTTGCCTACAGTCTACCTTCCAGCTACATAATTCATACTCCTTCACCTCTCCCTCCCCGCTCTATCAAACAAATCTAGGGCAGTGATCTTACCTTGTCTCTGCACAGGCTGGGGGAAGGTGTGAAGGTAAAATATTAATAGGGCCTTATACAAGAGGGGATGTTTTTAGCAGCTCTGCAGTATACCCACTCCCTTCCAGAAAGATGGGTGTTGGCCACCGGATCTATGGAGGGAGTAGGCTCATGCCTACTCGAAACTATGTGCTCCCTTTAGGATGAGAAACATAGAAGGAAGCTGACTCTTGCACTTCACCTCAGGAAAGCACCCCTTGCCCTGTCCCCATCACCCACATATGCACACAAACACACACTCTTCCAAGGTGCAAGTTTGACTCAGATACAGAGGAAACCATCAGCAGTTCTGATGTAGCCCATCATTTTTGGTCTATTTAAGTCACCACATACGTGGCACAAGCTGAGGATTCTTGTTTAAGACTCTGCTTTTAAACACAAAACTTACTTGGTAGACCAAAGTTCACAGATTAGCATAGCTGAATACAGCTTCCATAAGACAGGAGAGCAATGGCCAGTATGTATCTTCCCATGTCTTTCCCACTTTTTCCTGAAAGGATCAGTACGCTGAACACACATGCAAGCCATGCAGTTCACCTGGCCTGACGTCCCTCCATGCCACAAGCCAGATGTGAACAGAAAAGCGCAGGGAGACAGTTCCAGTCCAAGCAATCTGTGCCAGGTATCAGAAACAGTGCAGCGTGGGGAGCCAGACCTGCTGTGTGCAAATTTACCCATTCCCTGGCACCACCACAGCAGGGCAGATAAACTACCCAGGCAGGAAACCAGCAGCTGAGGCAGCACACATGCCTTGCTGGCCCTGCAGTAGTGACATACCCTAACTGTGAGTGCAGAACTTGAGAGTGGTGAATTCTGAGAGCTAACAAACTGTGAGTAATAAAGGAGAAAAGCAAGTGCTGATAGCTAGAAAGCAGGCAGATGTTAAGAGCACGCATAATTACAGCTTGACTCAGTATTCCTCCCTTTTAGCTCAACTTAGTTTGCACTTGAATCATTAACACAGCAACCATTCACCAATAACTTCCTAGTTGGTGAAGGTAGATGGAAAGAGAAGGTCCAATTACTTACCCTGGGATAACTAAGGGTGTTATTTCCAAAGCCTGAAAGCCAAGGACTGACAGGCAGAGAGATGCTGAGTTTCAAGCACAGAGACCAGCAGCATCAGAAATACACTTTTTTTTTTTCTTTTGGAAGAGCTTCTTCCAATTATGATAAATGAGCATGCACAGAGAAAGTAGTACAAAGTCATCCTTATTAGGCTGACTATTTTAAGGCTGCCCCAAAATATACCCAAGTAATTTTACTATGTCACCTAATTGAGGAGCCTTTTCAAAACTGGGGGTTTGGGAACGGGGGAAGCAGAGGAAGAGAGGAGAGAGTTTATCCTTTCAGGTGTCTGCTTACATAGCTTCTTCTGTATCACATCTGAAATTATGAAGGCTTCAGGACAGTAGCCCCAAGATCTATTTGGCAATTTGTGTGCCCAGCTATAGCCCAGTTAGCAAGCATTAACAAGTATCACTTCGCACAGAGGCCTTGAGTCTGGACCACACAGTTCCTAGGTATACAGCACGCTTTTTTTCCAATTTGAATACTAACAAGACAAGCCTTTAGCTTCAGAGTAGGTTCCCAGTTCAAATTCAGGTCTTGGGCTAGACATCAGTCATCCCACATACACTCACAGCTCTACATGAATATATGTAAAGGGTATTTGACAAATTTTGAAGCTGAAACATAACTCACTTCTTTAATGTAATTCATCTCCTCTTTCAGCTGATCAGCTGACCAGCCATAAACCACCATTTCTCTCTTATGGTTGTTGTCAGTTCGGTGCACGACGCCATACACCATCCCATGAGAGAGCTTCCCTGGAGACATGCCATTTGGTACATGGTAGAGCTCCTTAAAAGTAAAAAAATAAAAAGTTATTTTAAAATCAGTACTACAATAAAAAAACAAACAAACAACCAAAAACACATTAACATAGGGCCAGAAGAGACAGACAACTATAGTGAAAGCATAACAGTACCTAAACTAGCTCCCAAATGTTTTGGGGCCAAGCTGTCAACCTTCATGTTTTTGAGAAGATCAGTGACCAGCTTATAATTGAGACATCTAATTTCCACTGGCTTTAATAGAAGTGATATAGGTACAGCTACAGACAACAGATTGCATTTGTGCAAGGAGTAGAGGCATAGGAGAGAAAATGTTATCCTGACTTATTTTCATTCACCAACATATGCTACTTTTCTGAATTCTTCCAGAGCACTGTCCACTCTCAGAGTTCCTTTTAAACTCTGGCAGTCACAGAATTGCTCCTCACTCGCCAAACTCCTTGCTGCAGGAAATACAAAACTTCACAAGTTTGAGAAAAAATTTTAGAAGGTTCTCAGAAGAAACTGAAAACTAAAACACTGTAGGCAAGGTTTCTTAAACAGAGCTCAGAAAACATCTGTTTATCTTGGAGATAAACAAAGTAGAATTTCAGTTTGCATTTAAAGCTAACTGAGGACCTCCAAAGCAATCAAACATTATTTCACAGCTGCATTTCTCTTACAGAAGTTGTAAAACCAACATTGTAAGAGCCAAAGCAAAGCTACGAAACAGCATTCATGTGGGTGTTCCAGTGTTATTAACTAAGTAGGAGGGTAAAACTTTGAAATCGGGTCTTGATAGATTAATAGAAAGGCTGTTTTAAAGTGCCTACATTTGTTATTTTAATGATCTGCAGAAATTTGGAAAACGTAGTTGTAATATTTGTATGTCTTACTTAAAGGCACTCCGCAACAGTATCCTCTTACTCATCTCAGCAATACAATTAGTAAGAAAAATATTCATGCAAGTAATAGGAATCATTTCCCTCATCATGTAAATAAATATCTGCAATGTCAGATGTAACCACCTGACCCAACTACTCACCTAACATCCCTTCTAATCAACCCTGAGAAACATCCTTCTGTAGCAATCATCCAAAATGAGTCAGCCTCCAGAAGTACTACCTTCTCTTCTTGATTACAAAGAATTTAAACAACTAGCTTAGATGAAGACATCCACATTACAACTTTTTAAAAAGAAGGGAAAAAACATTTTTACCTAACTTTAAATATTTGCAAACTAGGAACCTAAAATTAGTGATTATTTCTGAATAGAAAGTTAGGAAGACACAATCTTGGAAACAGCTGTTACTGCGTAGCTTTGCATATTGGTTTTGAAAGGCCAGTGCTGGGGACAAATCAGCTATAGGTAATTTTACTGAACTTTCTTTTTCATGCTAGATATACAAGGATACAGGTAAATTTGAGAATACTTACTACACTGACCTTAGAATATGTTTTGGTTTGTTTTGTTGTTCAGTAATGACACTGTATGAAAACTGACCAACTTTGAGATTCTTTACTAAGAGTCCAAGCAGTATCTAAATACTCTCTCTGACACCAGAGAATGGAAGAGATGACGTTCAGCATCTTATATCCATCTGCAGCTGCATCCTAGAGTTTCCAGTCCTTACCATGACAGGCGGTGATGACAGCATCTACCGTCTAAAAGCAGCAGCACTTTCAGCTTTTAGTAGCCAAACTAACACAACTATGATGGCAAAGTAAGTACTTCTTTAGGTAAGGCAAAAATGAACAGGAAAATCTACTTGCATTAAGAAGAACAGGTAAAGATAGACATGCTTTATACTGTGTCCCTCCCACATGGCACTGACAGATTTTCTCAACATCTTAAATGCTACACGTTTTCCTTTACCATATCATTAATAGCTTAACCGTTTTGCTGAAGCTCTGGGTGTGTGTGTGCAAGGCTGGGAGGGGAACAATCACAGAGCAGACACCTGATAAAGAATGTTTCAGGCAGAGAACAACAAAGCTATACGCAATCATTTAAAAAGAAAGCCTTAAAACTGCCTAATGGAAAAATATTGGGCAACCAGCCCTACCTATACAAGATATAATTTTGCACTTTGAAAATATTATATGCAAAGCTTCATATCCTGATAATCAGCAGTTTCAGAATTATGTAATACTGGGGTTTCTATTTTGTTGTTTGGATGCGTACAAACAAAAACCCCACACCTGATTTTTTGAGAGTAGGGAAAATACAGAAACTAGACGGGGACATGACTCAAAACTTCATGTTTGTTTGCTTCCAGGGTTGTACAGTTTCTTTGGTAGTTTCATCGCAGCTCCTCCCCTGCATCTGGATAAAGGGATTACATTCAAGTTTCCATCTTCCTGATAACCAAATGAAAAATAACTTTGATTGTTTAGATGTTACTAAGGCACCAGACACTGAATTCATAAATCTGTACCCTTTACCCATGATCGTTCATTTTTTATGAGGTGAACAGCTGAATACCAGCAACTATCAAGATCCTTTGTGCTTCCAAAACATTAGCAGAATTGTTTAAAGGGCTATTTGCAGAGTTCTGTATGAAAATTTTGACCAAGTTCCTTATTTTTAGAATATTACTAACACATTACTAAGGAATACTTTGAAGGATTCTTTTCTCCCTCTAAAAAAGACTTATAAATTCAGATCAATGGGTTTGCTGCTGGAGAATCACCCACGGTACTTACATATTTCACAGATGAACAGACTTAAATTTACATCATAATGGCAGTACATGCAGGATTAAGCATGTACAAAGCCAGACTGGTTACATGTCTCTTGCAACAATGCTAATCTTGCCTGTTGTCTGTATTTGCACAAGCCTCCCAAGATGCCTTTGTCACTTCTCTTTTAGAAGATTAAAAGAATCACCATGATCTGTTGAGTGTTCCAGTTCTACTATGTGCTACTTAAAATACAGGATATTGCTTTTACCTCCTCCTTACTTCTCCTTTGTATCACAACCCCAGGCAAGCACCTGTTAAAATTTCAGTACAGTTCTTCCTTGATTTAAAGCTGTGTGAACCAACAGCTGTACAAATAACCGCTCTCATACTTCTTCAGTCTTTTTCCTTGTTGTTTTATTGCAGCTATGCTTACCTTCTGCTACCCCTTTTCTCTTTGAAACTCTTAATTTCCACTTACTGACCGCTTGTTTCAGGGTTCAGCATATGCCCTGACACAAAAGGGCTAACCTGATGCAGTCTCATCTTAGAGGAAGGGTCACAACCAGAAAACTTCTCTCAATGCACGGTTGAGAGGTGGATGGGTTGCTTTGCTTGTTACCTATTCTGTTAATACACCTTTGCCTTTAAAGGAGGCCTTGCTGAATAGCTCAGTTCTCAAACTGCTTCACAGAACTGCATCACTAAGTATGCATTAAGTATACTTTCCACCACTTTGTCTCCTCTCTGAAGCTACTTCCACCCACCTTTGTTTCTTTTTCTCCCTTCAGTGATTTTTCCTTTTCTGCCTTGTCCTCTGTTCTTCCTCTGTCACGTTCTCTCTCTCCCATGTTTCCTCTTCCAGAAATCCTGGATTTTCCACATCCCCAAGGACCACACAATGTTTTAAGTCAAATACTTTTTATCATTCTCCTCTATGTGCCATACATATCCACTCACAGAACTCGGGTATTTTTCTGAGAAGGTCCTCACCTGTCTCCACTCCTGATCTGCAGTGAGGCATCTCCGTGATGATAACAGAATAAGTAAATACACACAGGTATATAGGAGCCAGTAAATACTGTAAAGCTAATGAGAAAAGTACTTGAAGATGGAAAGTTTTGTTACAACAGTTAACCATTGCTGTTTCAGGTCAAAATATGAGCCAACTCCAGGGTACAGGGAAGTTCTTGCTCCCCACCCATCTATGCACCTGCTGCCCTGGAACAAGTGCAGTTGTTGCCCTAAAGTGTGCTAAAAATCCCTTCAAATGTGAGCTGCTGATCTGAAAAGGCAAACTTAGCTTCAGCAATTTGTGAATATTTCTTTTTACCTACAGTCAGTTGTATATGACAGTCCAAGGTAACAGCAAGAACACATGATATTGATGCACATGAATATTATAAGAGCTTCCAGGAACATGCTTTGTCTATGTTGCAGCAACAGTCATGATGCACTTGGTGTGATCACACAGCATGCACTAAAGAAATGCAGACTATGTTTACTTAATTCATGAATATTTAAAACAGAAGCCTACACCCCAAGGTTGCAAAACTCTTGATAATTGCTATGCATCCTGTTTATGTCTCTGTCCAAAGAAGTAGCACAAGTAGCATGAAAAAGGTGGATCAAAGACACTATAAAAACAAAACCTAAATATGATTTGTTAGCTGCTTTTTGTATTGTCCATGGTTTTATGGGCATTATGTAAATAACACTGAGGGGTTATTTGTTTCCTAATCTATCTTCATAAGTTTTTGAAATGAAAGTCAGATACCTCCATACATTATACTTTTTCCCTGTCCCAAAACTGGAAGCAGAACCACAGAAGAAGTATCTTATTTGAAGAAAAAGTACATCTAATGTAACGACCAGCACAATTCTGGGTTTAGTACTCATATTTCCTTAAAATTTTGCTAAATCATTATCTTCACCATCTAAAAACTCTTCTTTTAACCAGAACTATACCAGTTAAGCGAGGCTTTACCTTTTCCTCAACTGACACATTCCAGAGGTTTCTGAAATATCCAGTAATCTTCTGCTTGTTCACCAGTTATACAAGGAAAAGGAACATTTACACTATTACTTAGGTTACATATTTTCTGTTCAGTAAAATGACAAATTTATAATATTGAGCTCACCAAGGAAAGTTACTGTGCTCTGACAAAAGGTAGCTATGTTCTTACGCTTTTTCATATTCCTCTACAGCCCATGAAACTCATGTTACATTTAGGGATATTTCATATATAGATAGTATTAAAGTAGGGAAAATATGCCAAGACATAAACATGAGTGTTCTTAAATTCATGATGCTAAGTAAGAATCATCGTTTAACACAATCCAACTTCTAAGCTCCTTGAAATGTAGAATTTAGGTGCCTATCTCAAAAAATAGAAGTGACAGGTATTATACAAAGTCACATCTCATCAATGAAATCTGTACACAGAACACCAATGATTATACATTAAGAAAATAAGATACCACAAATACAGCAGTAACCACAGAAGTCAGTGGAATTCTCTCTGTGGTTTTCATGTACTGCTGTTTTTAATTAAGGTGTTAATTAGTACACACCAAAAATCAAGCAATCAGTGCTGGAGAAGCTGAGAAACAGTAACATCAGCCACCTGTGGCAGATGAGCCACATTTGTTATGACACTACTTTTGCTATGCTGATGGGAGTGGGCTGGCAGTAGCAGATCAGCAGAGAAAACAGGCACCGTCCTAGATCCAATGTGCACAACAGCCCCACGTTCATTGCACTTTGATCCAGGCCTGACACAAGTTTCTGCTTGATTCTCTCCATCACATACAGGAGCAAATTCCCCTTCTGGCTTCTTTACAACCTACTTTTTTGCTGGAGAAAAAAGGTTTGCTATGCTTCTGTATTCCTGCTTAGGAAGTGAAAAGTTTCACCTCTTGGTTGTGATGCTTTAAAAACATAAGAAAACTAAAGAGCTTGAGGATATATACAGCCAAAGTACCAATTAGTTTAAGATTAAACACTGCTCAAACTCTGTTAAAAGCCACAAAGACAAGAAAGTGACACAAATTTCTAGAGCATTAGCTCATTTTCATTCTCTTGTCCATGTGTTCAAATGAAAAAGAAAAATCTGTCTATACATATCTCCATATTCTGCCATCAAATGCCTAGCTGCAGCTTCCAATGCCACTTCCAAATTTAGCCATGACAGTGAAGAAAGGGACTGATGGATAAAAATAAGCCCAATCCCAAACAGGGACAATACAATTGTCTGGTAGTCCTTTATTATGCAAGACAAGGCAGGCTTCAGGATATGCAGATTTTGCATACAATCTGAGAAGCACAATATTGCCTTGTACTTCATGGTGAAATGAACAGCCTCCCACTACTGTCATCCATTGTCTATCATTAACAGAAGTAATAAAACCAAATCGGGATAGTTTCAGATTCTCTCTACCTAAAGTGCTAACAATTCAGAGATATTTAGCAGGAGGCTTTTAGCCTGTAAAAAGCAAACAAACAAACTAACCAGCCTCTACTTGTGACTTCAGTTCTCATATGCTTCTTTCAAGGTATCATAGCCTAAATATGAATATAAAAATCCAACCCGATACACTGGAACACAAGCTCACTCCCCCCCTTCAGTTTTTGAGATAAACTTCTGTGTACCATCTGCCCGCCTTTCACAAAAGACAGGGAGAGGACATCCTAGTATAGTAATGCCTGCAGCAATTTTGTTGTAACAAAACTGCCCAGCTCCATCACTTCATTTTAATCTCTTACTTTGGTTCATTTTTATTTCGTGGATGTATAGCAATAAGCAGTCAATCTTAATGCACTGATACAGATTTAATGAAATACAGCATACATTTTCTGCTAAATTTGGACTATAGTGAAAAAGGCTAAGCTGACAGCTACTAGCATAACTAGTAAGGAATCAGTTCTGATCTGACATCAAGCTCCAAAACAAGTTATTGGGATGACCAGCGCTAGAAAAATCTGTGCAGTTCATTAGTTGATTTTGCAACCAAACCATCTTTTAATGGTACTGAACATCAGGAAGATAGAGAAAAGTAACAAGTAAGCCATCACTATGTCACATTAGGGCAGCTCAAAATCACCTCCTTCTAATGAGAGATTTGAAAGAGGTGATTACAACCAAATGTCAAGCCATGGTATATTTATAGTTTTCCGGCATTCCCTTTGACACAGCAAGGCCTCTGCTCTCCTCCCTCACCAGCAGCAGGCAGAGGCTGGGAAGAGTCTGCCTCTCTCCAGCCCTTGTCCTGCCCAAACAGGAGAGTGCCTGGCAGTCAGTCTCAGACTGCCTGATTGCTTGAGCTCTCTAGCAGTTCTGTAAATCACACTAATGTATTTTAAAAACCAAAAACATTTTCCATGTTCCTGTTTTCTTAGTACTCAGCATTTGAAGACAGCACAGAACTCTAGATCCCAACAAGAGACCTGCTGTTAACTTGTGTTAGGTGGGAAATACAGCTCATTAAATACAAGGTCCCACTAAGAAAAAAAATGGTCACATAAAAAAGTCGCTACAAATTGTCCAAGCCTTAATCATTCAGACTTCTTTCTTATTATTACACTACTCAACACAGTAAAGTAAGTCATGAGTCAATATCTATCCTCCTCAAAACCAAACTTACATTACTCTTAGAGCAATGGGCCCGTATGCTTAGGCCAGTCTGAGGGTTTCTGCAATCAGATACAAACTGACAAGAGACTGACAGAGTAAGAGGTGGAGGAAAGCTACTTGTACAGCTAGACACTTCTGTACAAAATTATTTATATATAGGAATTATTACTATTTAATGGTGGCCCAAATTTAGTTTGCATTAAGGCATCTTTAATCCATTCTGTAAGTACCATTTATAGATCCTCAAAGACCTACTACTCTGCCAGAGCAGTGTATAAAAAGCTAAGAGTATACAAAATTCCAGCACAAGAAATATCTGGTAAGGAATCTTTATCTTGACCATTTTACTTTGCATTTATTTTTATTGCTTTAAAATGTTCATCTTTCTGAGTAATTTTACAGTTACTTTTGCTTTGGAGTACCACTAAGAAATTATTTCAAATAAATCCTGTTATTGTTTTGCTTCTTATTGTCATACTGCTATTCAGACATTGGGTATGGTAAACTTAGCCAACTTCTTGCTTGATTTTGGTTTATCAAAGTGTAAATGTGGTGAAATTATAGAGCCTGCCCAGCTTCCCTTTTTCATCTCCATCCTTAAGACAAATTAAATATCATCTATTGCTCTGAAATAGCTCTTAAAGAACAAGTTCTGCACCAAAGCAGCTGTAAGACATCTATATGTGCACTCTACTTGCTTCTACAAAAAAACTGCATTTCTGAACCCTTCTACACACATGATATTCAAATCACTTTCACTTCCGAATATTGAATTCTTTATTTTGTATTTCTTATTAGTATATCAACCATTACCAAAGTTAGCCAACACAGCAAAACATCTAAATTCCAAGCAAGCCAGCTCCCATACACATTAAGGCTAGAATCCTGCACTCTGTTAAGCCTATGTGAAACACAAAATCTTGTTCAGATGAGGATTAAGATCTTGTTTAATGCAAGACCCTGCTCTTGACAGCAGTTTCCTACTTTTTAATACATAAATATTAAATAATCAAGTCTTAAAGGTACCTCTGTCACAAATCATCTACAATCTCTTTGCTGTTCCTCTACTATTGCCCTATTTTACATGCAGATTTGCTATCCCCAACTCCAAGGTTCAGGCTCAAAGCTCACAGCTGACTTGCTCAGCTTCTACATGTTCTTCAGTCTTCCAAGATGACTGGGCCTTGGGCTCCCAAATGGCAGTGTTTACTCCTTGTTTATACAGAATTTAACTTTAATTCTTAAAACTTACGTTTTTCTTTCTTTCAGGTTCCTTTGCTCCCTGTTCAGCCTGTGAGCCTTCATCAGGTGGTACTGTTAAGCGTAGTCTACAGACATTCATCTGAAAGAAAAACAAAGGTCTGCTTTTAGGCTTAAATGTTACAAAAAAAAATATTTTAATAACTTGCTTTATAGAATGAACTGTACTAACATTCAGGTTTTAATTTACTATTTTCTACATTCTGCATTGGCTTTTGAAGGTTGGAGGGGTTTTTAGCTGGCAAGAAATAATTCAAGGGCATCCCCATAATTACATACTTGAAATAGCAAAAATCCATTTCAATCAACAACATGTTCTTATGTACTCATAAATGACATTGAGAGCTGAGATAACAGAACAATGAACATCATTTTCTAGTTTCTCAGTTTTGTTTGCAGACTTGGCATACTTTTAATCTTCAAAAGGGATTATTTAAAAACAAAGTGCATTCTGGAGCGGATATTTCTTTTCTGTTCAGTATATAACCAAGGATACCAAATATTGCAATTCCATTGAATGTGAATTGAATATTACTGAAATCTGATACGTACAAGCTGTTTGTAAAAACTAAGCTTCAAAATGCTTCAGAGAAAATTTAAGAGGCATTGTTTCCTATCTGATTTCAGAAAAGCCATTCTCTTGCTGAGGAAACAGGCCAATAGGGTTGATACCTTTCTATCCCCAATTGCAATTTGCCTTGCTTTTGGCTGAGAGATCTTTGGTGTAATGATATTTTTAAAGCAACACATTTTATCCAGGAAACTTGGTTAAAACTTTCTATTAGTCCTATTCATGAAACATTTTTGTGGAAAATAACTGTAAATCCTAAACAGAGCATAGCAAATGATGAAATGAGAAATTTGTCTCTCTAAATTGGAAGCTCCACAATACCTTCTTGCGAAATCCCAGCTGTCGATAGCAAACAGGGCTCTTAAAGCTCTTCCTCAAAATGTCCAAAATACCTCTTTCATGATTACTCTGGGTCATCACCACTGTTCTTCTATAGCCCAGCATTTAATCTGATCTAGATCTTCTCTAGTTTCTCCTAACTACTTATCTGCAGTTATGCTGAATGTGTACCTTCTCTCTGAAATACACCTTTCCATTGCAATTGCCCAAGCTCACAGCTCATGTCTTGGTCATTACAGCACTCCTTTTTGTATTGAAAATGGCAACCATGTTTGGCTCACAGGCACTCAGAGGAAAGCAGCAAAGTCCTTTTCACAGACCCCAAATTTTACCATTTTATAATTCAGTTCTTTCAACTGTCTCTCACATCAATTAAGCTAACTTGAGTTCACTTGCAAGGCTCTTCACAACACAACCTCCTCAGAGCACCACTATTCAGCATCACGACAAGGACTCCTGTTTCCCATTTCCAAACAATGCACCTTTTCAAACAACCTTTTTCTTCTTCCCAAACAAAAGCAGTTGGAAGAACTATCTGCAAATATCTACAGCAATTTCACTATTTTTCTTCCAGCCTTTCTTCAAATCTGTTGAGACAACTAATCAACAGTGTTTAAACTACTGGTATGATGTGAACTGTATTAAAAATTGCTACTCTGTATTGCCTTCCATCTTCCTCTCTCAGTTTGGTCTTTTAGATCTGCAAGGCCTTCTACCAATAAGGAACAGTGTCCTCAGATACAGATAAAGTTCCTATAAAATATGTAGCTGTGTCTGTATTATAAAGAATAAAAAAAAAAAGTCTGTAATAAGATTAAGTTTAAACATAACCTACTCTTTAGTCACATTTGTGGAGGCCAGTTTTTGTGCAGTGGGCTCCCCACTGTTAATTCACCATTCAGCTGTATGTTAGCAAATCCAGAGGAAGGAGCCACAGAGAAAGTGACATAAACCCCCCAAACTTGGTATAAAAGCAGTTTATGCTTTCATATTTGCTAAAGAATTCTGAAAAAATGAAATGCATTTAAAAATTATGAATCCTTGCACATTGGCTTTTGACACTGATTGACTGCTATGTTTGTTCTTCTGAGAACACCAGACTCTCCCCATATGCTGCAGAAGCTGGAGGTGCTTCCTGCTTACAAGTTAGTTATCAAGATACATTAATAATAAACTCCTCAACTTTGGGGCTTGTTGATTCATAAATTAATTAATACCACCTTTTCTCACCTATTTAATTTCCATTTCCCCCTGTTCTTTCTTCCCATTAGCTTAGCAAGGTTCTTTCCTCTTAAAACATGCCTGTTTACAACAAGAAGGGAAACAGAGTCTGGCATTCCTCCATGTAGACAAAGAATGACCAGACCCCTAAATAGGAAATAGAACTGAAATTGTGCTGTGCAGGAAGTGATAGATGAGGCCAACTTTTTCTTACAGTGATTTAAAATGAAGGAAAACTGGACTAAAAGAAATGAAATAACTGTTAGGAGAAAACATGAAAAAAATATCTAAAATAAATAGAAACAGATAGTGACTGCACCTCAAAGCCAGAAGAAATGGATTTGTGTATGATTGTTTGAAGCTGGCAAATGGCTTGTCTGTTAAGTCAGTATGGGACTAATTATAGCCAACATACTTATAGGTTCACAGTGCAGTGACTGTAAGTAAGTAATTACCCCTGTACCTGTGTACCAGTCAGTGAATCATGACTGCCTGCCAGATTACAGCAATTGTTTTACAGGGTTACTATGTAGGAAACTGCAAAAGCCCAGTACAGATGGCAGTCATATCATAACCAGGCTGGAAATACAAATTAATAACAGTAATTTGTGGAGACTAAAACCACAGTACAAAGGGTTGTTATCCTTTAAACTGTTTTTCTTGCCCTTCTCTTTTCACATTGCCTTCTCTATTACCCTCCCGAATCATTTCCCCCACCCCCCACTTCCTCATTTCCATGCTAGGTCCTTACTTTTAAAATACCTCAAATCAGTATCATTTATTTGGCAGTATTTCTGACACAAAATAAAGTTTTAATGCTATACTTTGCAGCCTGTTGCATGCAAATGCCAAACAGAGGGTGGCACTGGCAATCATCTAAGGATTCCAGCCTTGAAGTCATGTGGCAAAGTACCACCCAATTCCTCTCTAGGACAAACTTACACAGGCTGTACTCTTGCTATTGTTTATAACAATAAGACTTCCTCAGCATCCCTAGGGAAACAGCAACAAACATATAAAGTAGCCATTCACTCCTGCTCCTCCTGGGCCACAGCTGATGCACTCTACCTAAGGACAGAACTACAGACCAATCTGTTAAAATTCAAGAACACTATAGAGATTGGAAGGGAAAAAAACAGACACTGCTTTTTCCTCTAACCTCCAATAGCCATCACGAATACTGTACCTATACTGTTCTTGCCTTGCAGTGCTTCCTGAAGAGACAACACACTGTACTATTCGTCGGCAAATTTACTTGACCAAATGAATGAGCAGGCTCACATGGAAATTGCAGCAAGCCCTCCTCCAACAGCAAAACAGTGCTGCAGTGATGCCTTAAAATGGAAATGAGATCGTAACAGGAAGAGCCTCGACTCAGTGCCAAACAGTGGCAGAATAGTGTGCAACTGAGGATGAAGGAGTAACTTCCAGAAACAAATTGGGTTATGCAGAGAGCAAGCGAGTAGGATAATGAAAGAGAACTCCCTTAGCAGGGAAAAGGCTGTGATTCAATTTCTTTCAGCTGCTGACCAACAGTAAGAACAAGTGAGAAAGACCAGGGACAGACATGGCTTCCACTCTACCTTTATGTCATCGACACTCTAACTTTGTGAGTGTAAGTTTTAAAAAGATATACTGGGTAGAAGAACCACCAGATATCAAGTTTTCTACACTATCAGATTTTAGTTTGATTTGCAGCATCTATAGCTTTGGCAAGCCAACAATGTAAGTAACCTTAATTGTGCCAACATTTTATGTTCACTCCTGGCAGTTTGACACCAAAAATCCACAAGGGGTATTTCCAAAGCTCATCTGACATAATTTGTGAAACAAATGTGCAGACAGGAAAACAAAGACTGAAAGGTTCAGCCTGGCACAGCAGACAGCAAAAGTTTTGAGTGCAATGGCAATTAACAGGTGAAGACATGCTCTTTTAACAACTTTCTAAGAGGCTAGTGGGACAGCATAAATGAGAGCTACCACAATAGGGCAGTTAAGAAAAAAGCCAATCTAGCCAAGGTAAAACCACTACGAATTCACAGCCCAGATGCACAATCCAGATTCATGTTTACCATTGTACTCAAATCACTAGGGTGCAACTTAAAACAAATACAGATGATAGATTGAGTTTGAGTAATGTTCTTCAGCCTCTTCTTCCCTCTTAAAAAACAAAGCACCCATAAAAGCATTGATCATAGTTAACTATGTACCGAAATAATTACAGAGCTAGCATTAAAATAATAAGTGATGTTTTTATAGAATAACCAAAGTTACTACTACAGCGATAGAAAAATACAAGCTGTTCTACTAAAAACCAGTCCCATTCTAAGATTTTGACAGTACCCCCACAGGGAAGATGGGCTTCAGTATTGATCTAGCTTCAAATCAACTTTAGAGTTAACTTCACCTGAATTTAATATTTTTGATCTTTCTAATGTCTGATAATAAAATGGTTTGGGGATAACAAGTTTGTTGAGTAACTATCTGCTAACCTACCAGCTCAACAGCCAAAAATCATTCCCTTTGCCCAAGACCCAATGTTAGTTTTAGACTTTTGAAGGTGAAAGCAGAAAAGGAGTAGGTGTTTAATTTCAGTCAGTCTTAAAAAGAAAAGAAGAATACTTTCTTTGGTCATTTATCTGTTGATTAGCCTACTTCATTTATGAAATCTCTGTTATGGGATTCCCCACACAATTAAAGGGCACTTTTCCTGTGACCACAGGCACACAGGAAAGTGACACATATCTTTCATTTATTCAGCAGTTATTCTAACTGTCTTTCTCCTCTGACAACTCATGGTAAGGGAGTCACATTTCACTAAAAAAAAAAAAAAAAAAAAGAACAGCAGCTTGCCTGGCAGTTTTATTTGCAAATTAGGTTTTTACCAGTTTCTTTAAGCAAATGTATCAAATACGGTTCATTTTACACTGGCTCTGGGAAATATATCATGGGGATTAAAGTAAGAAAATTATCACTTAAACACAAAATCTCTTAAACTTCTTTAAGAAATATTAAACCAGGAAAATTTAACAGGAACACAGAAGACATAGGAAACATAAGTGTGATTTCCAAGGCATCTTAATTTTTCCACATACATGAGCAATTTCATTTTTATGAAGGCCAGGGATTTTTTCTGTGGAAGAGCGTGACGCCCATGTTATCGTGGCAACATGACATTTTTCATTGTTTCAATTATGAACTCATATTTTGGAGTTTCAAAACAATCACTAAGCAATTGAAGAAGCATCATGCTCATACAATTCTATTTCTTTGTAAGGACAAGCTTATAACTTATTTTATTTCTTCAGATGTGGAATGAGCACTCACAACAACAGCTGTGTGGTTACAGTAGAAAAAAAGGGCTATTTAAAGCCGTGTGGCTGTAGAGACATTCCTGTTATATCTGCCAGAGTTATAACAACTTTTTAGAAACATTTCCCAATAGATTAATACATCATTATCATTTATCCCATTTATGAAAATTAAAAAAAGCATCAGTAAATCATATTTCTGTATTTGAGGAATCGGTTATAGAAATAAATCACTATTGCCATCTAAATTATTATGGTGAGCTTCCTCACGATAAATAGAGACTGGATAGGCAAGTTCTCAGTTGTAAATATCAAGGCGCATTTCAAGGGGGGGGTGGGGGGTGGTCTCCAACACAAGCACACCTTCCTTGCAAGTTTCCAAAACAGCCACGGACTAACACTAAGAAAAGCCTTACAGGACACCCGGACACCCCGCAAGCTCTTCATTTCCCAGCACCTGCTACGAACGCGCAAAAAAAGATGTTCTCACACACCGCAAGATTCACCTGAAACCACCGAAAATAAGCAAGGAAAAACAGAAAGGGGGGGGGGGGGGGGGGGGGGAGGGGGAAGGTAGAGTTGGGGGGTGATGTGTCAAACCACCGCTTCGCCCCACGACATGGCCCGCGGGACCTCCCCACTGTCCGTGTCGTCGTCGTCGTCGTCGTCCCCCCCCCGCGCACCTTCCGCCGGGCGTCGCCGGACGTCCTCCGGGGGGTGGTGGCGGTGACGGTGAGCCCCGAGCTGTAGCGCAGCATCCCCGCGGGCCGCCGGGCCGGCGCTGACTGCGGCTCCCCGCGGCCGGCCCCGCCGCTCCGCCCCCGCGCACATGGCCGCGGGCGGCCGCAGGGGCCGGGCTGCCCCGGCGGGGGCGGGCCGGGCCGGGGGGAGGCTCCGCTTCGCCCTCCGCGACCCGCCCCCGCGCGACTCGCGTCCCTGCGCCGGCTCTTGGGCCCGATTTCCTCGCGTGGGGTGCAGCTGGGCAAAGGCGCTGTGGGACGCAGACCCGCGAGAAACTTGGCCTTGGGATACTGAGGTCCCAATGCAGGGCGGCGTTCCTGCTGCTCCCGGGAATTTTGGGCGTTGGGGGTGCAGGATGGGTAGCGGGGCTTTGAGAGGAGTCCCAGACGGGTCCGTGTGTCGCTCAGCCACCTCCCAGGCAGTGGAAAATGGGGGTTAGGGCTTGTAGGACCCCGTAGAGGCCACTCGGGCCCATTCGCCGGTACCCACCTCTGAGTGCTCTAACCGGAGAGTACTATGTGAAAGATGGACACTGTCCTCCCCTCCTTCCCACAGCTGCAATTCGTGAGCCACGCAGGCCTGCTGGTTCATTAGCTGTGCTGCGGAAACGGGTACCAGACCGGTCAGAAAGCACCCAGATCCCAGCCAGCCTTGGGTGAGAGGCACAAAGTCAGTGCAGCTCAATGTGCGAGGGATGGCGTAAGCCTTAGTGCCAAAGGTCCGCCAGAGAGGTGAGGCGGGTGGGCTGGAGGTAGCTGGCCCTGAGCCAGACTGCAGGTGTGGACTTCAGCATTTCAGATGCTTAGCTCTTCCGGGACCTGGGCTGAGGGAACGCCGTAACCCTACACCGCGGTACACAGGCCTGGGGCACACACATCTTCAGTGGCAGCCTTGTGTGCCTGTCATGAGCAGAACAGTCCTTGGTAATCAAAGGAGATGCTTTTGTTTGAAAGAAATTGCAGAACAAATACCTTTAAAAATGCTGTTAAAATAGAGTATCCTCTGTAATTCCTTTAAATAATTAAGAACATGAGAAAACAGTTATGACTTGCCTGTTACAATGTTAATGATACCTGTTACGATATTAACGATCATGATGGGTCTTGATTTGGAAAATTCTGTAGAGAGGGAAGCAATTTGCATTGGAAAAATGGAAACTGCAGTGAACTACCAGTGCCTCACCCTTTGTGTACAATGGGTCTGTTCTCTTCTGCCTCTCAGTTCCCTCTTCCCAAGGCAAGGTACTGAGCAATCAGCACAACAAGGATCTGAGGAAGAGAGTATTTCCTAGGTGCAGAGGAATGAATGAAGCATCTGCATTTAGTATTCAGCATCTTTTCTGGTGTTTTCCCAGCTACTATTCCCTTCACCACCTGAAAAAGGTAGTATAGCCCAAGGCAAACGAGATTGAACAAACACTTTGGATTTCTCTCAACTCAAGACTGGCTGCATGTTACATGATTTTTTTTGTTCGAAGGTTTCTCGTGTGTACAAACAATTGCATTTCTGTATGATTCATCCGCTGTCTTAACTCCTGGTTGCAGTGCTGCTTCCAGAGTGGGTTTGCAGCTGGAAAATAGGTTTATCTTCAACAACCTACTCCCTGAGCTGAGCCACAACAGTGGTCATTACTTGTTCCTGGTCATCCTGGTGAGCAGAAAGGTCTCAGTTTAAATTCTGGTATGCAGCCAGCTGGTGGCCTTTGTGGTTTCAGCTGTGAAGGAGTTCATATTCCGGTAAGATTCTCCTGGTTACTGAGATGTTGTGTCTTCTACACTTCATTCCCCTCTGGGAGGGTGTGTATGCAGGGCTGTCTAGTCACTGCAAGGCACACACAGAACTGCTTTTCTAAGATCAGGCAGAGAGACTAAACTCATGCCACACTATGAGAAAGGACCTCCCTTCCCATATGCTAGAGCATGAGAGAGTCAGGCACAACAATCGGATCTCTGGGGGAATTTGCCAGGTCTCCATCAACTTCAAGAATGTTAGTAATTTTGATGGAAATCTTGGTGCTTGATGGAATTTCTTGATGGAGATTATTGGTGCAGATGAGGAAAAGCCTTGTCCATGGATAATACAAAGACAGATAATACATAGTTTTCTCACTTTTGTCTACATTACTAGCAGCTCTTTCCATTTCTTGGAAAATAGCAGCAGGAGGTGTCTACCTGATTTACCAATATCTGTTTGAACAAGAGCATCTGTGTCTGGGCACATCCTCAAATTAATATCCTCCAAGAAAGAATAACCTGCATGTATGGTTAGTAGTCTGCTTTTTTTTGGATACTCTATGAATCACCCCCTTCCCTTTCCAAGTCAGCAAGCTGCACAAGTGTAGTAAGGAGTCTAATTTGTTTTCTGCCTTGCTAGTTGGCTGTGTATCCCACGCACCCACCCGAAACCTCTTCAGCCCTTGTTTTGGCTGTGTGGTCCTATGTGTGTAGTAAACATTTGAAAATACCTTATAATAATCTCTAAATTCTGCCAAGGCTCTGATGAACATGTAAAGAGAGGTATTTGTTGATTTTTAATGGTTTTGAGTCTCACTTACACATGAAAGCAACATCTGGAGTAACTTTTTCTCCAACCCAAAGCTCTGATACACTGCAGGGATTATGGAGCCACTCACTAGTATTGAGTGAACACCTGGTATACTCAGGTAGGAAAAGGAAGCTCAAGAGAAGATGTTGCAGCAGTATGAGACATATACAGAAGGGCTGCAAAAAAGCTCAAAGTTATAGAATTATTTTTGAATGAAGACAGGATAAACAGATTTGAGATCCTCAGCTTGGGCAAAAGACAATGGTGGGGAATGGCCAACAGAGATGTAGAAGATCAAGACCAGTATGCAAAAGTGAGTAGGAATGGCTATTATTATTTCCTCCTCTTGGGAACAATGGATTTGAAGTAAATAAGGCACTACATTTATGTCCAAAATTAAATTATGGCAGAGGATACTCTGATTATGAAAAGTATAAACGCTCTCAAAATGCAGCTGGATAAATTCATGGAAGACAAGCTGTAAGGGCTATAAAATATGAAGATACATCTACTACTGACTCAGGAGGTGTGTGAATTGTGGGTTTCCTTTCTTGATAGCTCTCCTATGACAGGACCACTGTCTTTTCAGCCTCAACATGACAGACTCCTCACCAATAATGGTAAAGGTGACAGGCTTCTAGCAAGCAACAGTTCTCTGCTCTGAAAGGAGCTCTCATGCCCAGCATCTGTCCTTGCCTGGGGATTTCTGGCTGCAGCTCATTACTCCACATTTGACATTCTCTCTCACCCCAAAAGGAGACTTAAGCCAAGAATTGACAATTCATGAGTCACTCCCTCTTTCACTCCCTGAGAGTTCAGGGAGAAATGTCTGCTTGGTTTCAGCTTGTCCCTGTTTGCCAGGACCCGTGACTTTACCCCCCTGGTTCTGATACAGTCAGAAGTAGATTTACAGCTCTTTTTCCCTGCAAGGGTCATAGTTCACTGTTGTGAGCATTTCATGCTGTCTGTGGTTTGGACATGGCACTCATTTACAGAAACAGGATGGGGGAATGGAAGGTAAATCACTACTTGGGAATTAGTTTGACTAAACAGTATTCTACTGATCTTTACAGATGGACAGGCTACACAAGTTACACACAGTCATGCAGACTGCTCATCGGCAGTATACAGTGTGGTGGCAGAACATAATCTGACCAGGATGCTGAGCTTTCAGTTCAAAACCTGCCAGTGCTCTGTGGATGCAATGATCCAAAGACACAGCAGGTTAATTACAAGACAACACTACAGTAGGAGTATCTGGAGCAACAGTTGTTGTGAAACAGCTAATACAATTACACAAAACCTGCAAGAAATTTAAAGTGTTGGCACCTTCATTTTTTTGCAGGCTACCTTGTTCACCACCACCAGCATTAGTGATTTTTTTTTTTTTCCCCCAGGAGGCCCAAAGATCATTATGCTGTGGGAAAAATGAAACAGGATGTCACAGAATCAACAGGCCTTTATATAAAAAGCCAATGGTCACAAGACGGGCAACAGAGCATACAATACATGGAGTAGAAAGTAGGTCTGCCCTCACAGAATAGCAGATCATAAAAGAATTCCTGTATGAGTGGATAGCCTGGTCTTACCTTAACAACTTGCCTAAATGTGGGCATGATAAAAGGCTGATTTTTTTTTTTTCTTTCATCAAAATCTCCTCTCCGTCTTCAGGCTAACTGCTGACAGAGTCCAGAGGAAGAAGAGAAGTTCCAATAATACTTGATCAACTGGAATATTAATCCTGTGGGATTTGGGAATAATTGCAGAGTTACAAATTGAACATGAACTCACACCTGTGGTCATTAAGGCTATAAAGTCCCATTTGTGTTGCTACAAAAATGAGGTGTGAGATGCTATAATTAACCTCTAATAGCCTTCACTTTCCAGGGGGATTAAAATCTATTCTGCCTTCATCATCCCTAAAGCATGAAACCCATTTATAGCAGAGATTACCAAATGGATAGATGCATGTAAAATATTTCAGAACCAGACTCAATAAGACCTGGGGGCTTGATCACGTATTTTTCCTCAGATCTGTTTCTTTTTTCTGCTAGCTTTCACCCTTGTATTCTACAAACACACACTTATCTCAGCATCATGTAACTCTCAAGACCTCTTTTTTGGGCATTACAGCTAGCATGAAAATTTTAGCCTGCTAACAGTCATAAAACAGCTTGTTAGGGGACACATATCAGAAACTAAGCCCCCAAATTCAGTAGTCATAGGTCTCCTTATATGCAATATACAAACAAATGCATAATACTGTACAATTCTTGCTTTGAGCAATATTTCATCTTTCACTGGCAAATACATCTTTGCTGCATTTGTAGCTACTGTGGTTTATAGTTACCCTTTTGAAGTGACATAACTCATATAGCTATCTGAATCTCCAGCGTAGTTTAGCCACAAGCATCACATCACTTCTCAAACCTATCTATTTAACTGTCTGCTGTCACTTTTACACTCTTGATAGATGGCTAATACAGGATTACTGCAGAAAGTCAGAGCCTCCCCTGCTGATTTCTCATATACAAGT